TGTTAATACATCTTGTATTCCCTCGGGATATTTTGGTAATTCGGAAGAAACTGGTTTATAACTCCAATCGACTTCAAATGATTTTTGTTCTTTTTGTTCTTCATTTTTAAATGATTGGTGTAATTCGTCAAATCGTAAGGTAACGATACTATTAGGTACAGGATTTGAGAAATAAATACTTGTATGCCATTCGGATAATGAAGGATCTATGCATAATTTAATATCAAAAGGTCTTTTAATATTTTCAGCGGCATCAGATTTTTTAGAACCGGCTGCTATTCCTTCTGCTATACCAATCGCGGTGTCGGTTGTTCTTAGGAAAGGGCTTGTGATTATTATGTATTCCAATTTATTATTTTGATTTTCCACATTTTCAAGTTGTAAATCGTGAATGTATGAGCCTGATTTATTGGCTTGTTTTTTGCCTATATCGGTAAGGGGTGGGTCGTAAGGTGAAGGAGAGGTGTAAGCAAAAGTAGGATCAACTTGATCAAGCCTTTCTCCATGTCGAACAATGTATAATGTTAAAGACATTTTTTTTAAAACCTTTATTATATATTACTGACGATGGTTGTTGTAGTTGATAAATGATGGATTTTATAATGATTGAATTCAAGAAGAAAATTTATTTTATTTATAAAGAAATGAGATCGTGTGTGTTACATCATATCATTAATGGTTGTTACACTAATAATAATTTCTAGAAATATAATTAGAATTTCTGCCCCGACTCTATGGAAGGCATTACCAGAATTCTGAAAGAAATTTCTATAACAACAGCATTATACATTATAATGTGCTTATTATATTATATTACGTACAATACGTTAAACACATACATATATATATATAGATAATATATATTTGTAAAGATGTACATATATTATATTTATGGTAAATTTTAATTTAAGTTTTTGTTGTTGTTATAGTGGGGGCTTGATGACATGATATGACGAGAAAGCGTTTTTAAAAAATTTTTTTTGAATAAAATAAAGTATGAGAGATATTTATTTCTTTTGTAGAAAAAAGTTACAAAAAATAAGGATAGACAAAGAGATCCTTTGTGTAATTAATTTTGTTTCATAAATGAAATTTTTTTTATAGGCCCGGAGAAGTAACTCAGTCATATTAAGAAAAATGAATGGTGGTCTCTTTCATATATTGCCATTTTAGAAATATATAAAATAAATAATAGAAATAATAATGTAAAAAATACCACGTTTTTAAACAATAGTAGTATTATTGAAATATATTGTTATTATAAAAATCAAAAAAATATATAAAGGAGCTGAATGTTTTTTGATCATTACAATCCCTTCCAACAATAAATTAAAAATTCAAAAAATTCAAAAATATTCTAATACTTAATATTTTTTATATTTTTTTTTAGTATTAAAAAAATCCTTTATATACACACATACTTCTCCTCCTGCTTAACAACACCACTATCTTGAAAATCACAATAAGATTTTTTAAAGAGTATATAACATAGTATTGTAGAATAACTTTATATATTAAAGATAATACTTGTACAATTATAAGTACAACATTTATACTCTAAAGAAATCTATAAAAGAATTTTCTTATAACAAATCAAAGCTACCCTTTTTTCTTACAATGGATTATAGTAAAATTATGTGCTCAGGACTTAATCCTAATCCTAATAATAATGATGTCAACATCAAAAAGCACAAAAATAAGACTAGCAAAGAAGAACAACGGGTAAAGCACACTTATGAAACGTCAATAGAGGTAAGAGATCATAAAAAGATAGTGGTGTCTATCTGTTCAACGACAAATGGACGTGAACGGTACGAATGCGATATTCCTACCGAGAAAGAGATCGAGAAAGATTATGGGAGCGAAGCAAGAAGATCTAAAGAAGCTATTAGATCCATGAATGATTATTTTATATTTCGTACTTATTTCAGTAAAGTAATCCCCCAGTTCAATAGAAATGAAAAATCTCACATCACCAGTGATATTTGGGCGTCCGCTGATTCAACTGTTAAAGATGAGTTTCGTAAGCTTGAAACTCACTTAAAAAAAAACTTCAATCATAAAAAATTTGTTCCCTATTCTCCTTCGTCAGTAAGTAAAAATGTTAGACCAAAAACAAAAACAAAAACAAAAACACAAAAACCTCCACAAGAGCAACCAAATACTTCCCCTGATTTTCCAATTCCTCGTATTTCTCTTACTTCTCCAAATAAAGCCACTCACACTGATATTTCCATTCCATTACCAGAGCAATCAAATCCTCAACCATCACCACCACTAATTGCAATACAATACGAAGATATGCCATTTAGTGAATATTATGCTCACGAATGTACTCAGGTGCCGGACGATACTGCAATTCCAATACCTAATTCTAATTATCATGCTAACACTACTGCTCATAATAGTTACAGTAATAGTAGTGATTATGGTAACAGCAGTGGATATAGTTCATCAATAAACTATAATAACGGTTCTTCTAGTTCATCCTTTACCAGAAGCCCCAGCTTAGCCGGATCGTTTAATAGCCCAGGAACCAAACTGTTGCCGAACAACTTCTTATTAGGCAACAGCCCAATAATTTATTGTAGTGACACATCACCTTCAGTGACGACACTATCATCAATGTCTTCACCGGTACTAGTTTATAGCCCTGGAAGCCCATTAGTAACTGCTAATCCGGATTCGAATGATTACCCACTATTTGAAACCAACTTTGAATCTTTATCGATTAGCGAACACAACAGCGGATTCAACAACGAATTAAACAATGACGAATTTAACAACAATGGATTCAACAATGACGAGTTTAACAACAACCAACTCAACGATTTTCTTGCGAATCTATCTAACGGATCTAATCACGATTTCGAAAATCTTCTTGATAATAATAATACATCTGAGAACTTAAATTGGATGTTTTGAAATAATTAAATTACAGGAAAGATGAAAAGATAGAAAGATCATTAACTCTCATCAACAAAAAGTTTTTTTTGGGATAGGTAATTAATTGCAGGAGGAGGCTTATTCTAATTATTTATTTTTTATTTATTTATTTTTTATTTTTTTTTATGAGGTAATATTTTATTGTTTTATTATTGTGAAGGGACTTTTTTTTATTTATTTACGAGGTAATATTTTATTGTTTTATTATTGTAAAGGGACTTTTTTTATTATTATTATTATTATAATTTTAATTTAATATTATCACACACACATACAATAACACTATAGAACTTTTAGATTATATCTATTTTTTATTTTTTAAATTTTTTTTTTGTATATATATATTTTTTATTTTGTCTGCCATCATCTCCTTTTAAGGTTTTTTAATATTAATAGATTTTAAGTCAACGTATATATTTATTAATTATGTTTCATTTTCACTTTATTCATTTGTAATTAGTTTTTTTTTTCACACACACTCACTTATACAGATATACATACATATGTACCATTATATTGCATTTAAGGTTTTTTAAATAAATAATAATAATAATATGGTATTAAACAAAGAAATCGACAATGTATAAAATGAATTAAAAAGACTTGCAAAATCAATTAAATCATGAATGTCAACGAATTTTGATAAGAATCAATTAGATCGATCGCTGTCATTATTCATACTAATTCTCTCGCACATACCATACACTTAAAATACGTGTATATAAAAGGTTTTTTTTGAATCCAAGTAATCGGTTGAATGGACTTCTGATTACTAAATCAGCAACAAAACAATAATGTTTATAATGTTTTTTACTTTTTTTAATTGAACGAACCATAATCATTTCCGAATAATAATGATAACGATAACCGGCGGAATCGTGAAAACTAATAATGATATTAATAAATGATGTAATGATTTAAACAGAAATTTATGCGCCAACACTCGGAATAATTGTTAATCCGAACGACAGAATTATAAAAATTCTTTTCTTCTTCTTCCTCTTCTTCTCTTCTTCTTCTTCTCCTCCTCCTCCTTCTTTTCATCATCAAAATGCCAAGGACTATTAACTCCTTTACACATTTCCTATTAAAGTTACATGGTTACATGCAAGTCCACGCCATTATTCTCAAAATCAAAAATAAAAGAATATTCCCAAGAAATTGTAAACAATAATAATAGGATATGCCGTGTGAATTAATTGTTACCGTCATACTATACTATTAATAATGAATCTTATCGATAATGATGAGAATAAAAGCGGTTGGTGTATGAATCATTCTGGAGTACAGGGTCCTTTTACAATTAACGAAAAAGTATCCAACCCGTCGCTTACAGCTCTTCCGAATAATAGTAATAATAATAATAACAATAGTAATAATGACAACAACAACAACAACAACAACAACAACAACAACAACAACAACAACAACAATGCTGTTGTTGCTGCACGGATAGTTCTTTGGATGTGTCTAAAGGAATTGTATTCCTTAATCAATTACTAAAAATAAGATGGTCGGATGTTTTCGGTTAGTATTTTTACTAATTCTATAATTATTCATAAAATTTTTTTAGTAATGATTGAATGAACTGATTAAAGTTAGGAATGGAATTCCTTCTCCGTCGTAAAAAATTTATTTTAATTCGATACTTTTTTAAATTACTTTCTATATAAAGACAATTGCGAATTTTTGTTGTTATTAATATCAAAGCATTATTATCATTACTAAATAAGTGTTTATTCAAAGGAATAAAAACGACCAATTCCCTATGGTGGGTGGTACTAACGTAATTTTATCAGCAGAGAAATTATGATTGGTTGAAATCCTTCATTATTCACTGAAATAAAATCTCGGAATTATTTTTTTTTTATTCACATATTATATTTATTATATTATTTTATTTTATTTTATTTTATTTAATATATTACTTCTTAAAATAAAGCAATTAACATTAAGTAACCAAATTTATCTTTTTATTTGTTTGACGGAAGATGCCAAAACACATATATAATAAATTCTCTCTCTCTCTTTAAAATTAAAAAACTTTTTTGTTTTCACTCTTAATAAAAAATTTTTTTTATTTTTCTTTATTAATCTTGAGGCTTCTTTTTTAGATTTTTTTGCATTTTTATTTTGTAGTTTACCGCCTCTCCTGCGTTTATTATCATGACTACACTCGACCCACACATGATTCCTTGGCCTAATTTTTTTTACACTGATGAAAAAATTCATGAAATATTCTTGGAAAACATGATCAGAATGTCTCCAGATATCTTTAAACATCCCACTAATAGTTTTAAGACTTCTTTCCATTTCACTATCATGTTTCTCATATTTCAATAAACTTTTATGTGCCAAGCCTCTAAAAATTATAAAATTATTGCCAGATTTTAGTTTTATGGGCGGTAGATTTGAAACATACTCTTCTACAGTTGGAATTGTAAAAAAGATTTCTAAAATGGGAACATAAGCTATCAGTACAGCGGCAAAATTAACGCCACCAGTGACGATGCTACCGTTATTGTCGTTGTCGAAAGCAATCAAACAAGGTTTTTGTTTTACAATGTAATTCTTGAAAAAGTTTTTGAAATGGTCGTCAGCAATTTCCCAAGAAATATTCAACAATTTTTCGACGGCCATCTTTGTGTGTTCATCAATTACTTTATTTCTAATAAAAATTGATGATAAAGATGGTGCCATCAATGAAGTAAATATCCAATTACTGCATTGTGGATTTGAAAGCTTTCTTATTTCTAGCATCTTTCTT